AGGTGTCCTGCCCCGCCCCACCCCGGCCACTCTGTGCCTGCACGCGCTGCCCACCGGCCCAAAGCAGCCGGGGCAGAGCGGGGTGGGATGCCTGCCCCCAGCCGCTCGGCACCTGTGCACATGCGTGCTGCCCACAGGCCTGCCATCTTTGTCGGGTTAATTTGGATACTCACTCCTGATTGGCTGGTGAGTGTAGCGGAGGGACGGTCAATTTACATGTTTCTCTTTTATTATATAGGATTCTTATCTCCCAGACCCTGGCCTCCTGCCTTGGGGCAGCAATATAATATGAAAACTTAACAATAGATCTTAAATGTAGCTGATGTTTTTATATCCTTCACAACATACTCTTTAGATTGCACCCAAGAAGGAGATTATTAAAGAGTAACAGGAGACCAGTTACCAGACCATTTTAATTGAACAAAAAACAGCACTGTGCTTTCTTGCTTACAAGTCAAACATTTGTACAAACATTAAAATCAATTTCATAAATAAAGGGCTATTAGCAACTGGGGTGGGGAAGAAATTCTCTTTCTCACAAGCCCCTTCAACATTTCAGGTTAGTTGAGCAGGGGAGGAAGCTCTAATGAGAAAAGAGGACTCGCTGACCCACAGTCTCCTGTGAAATGGTATGTCAGTCAGAGGCAAGGACACATTTTTGCAATCATTTCGGCCTATTTTTTGTAATAATTAGTAAGAATTCCATTTTGCTAGGGCTAGCATCGCTCACAGCTCTCTCTCTCTCTTTTTCTCTTTTTAAATTTAGGCTTTTTTTTTCCTTTCCATAAAGTAAATTTACATATTTTCAGTCTCTCAATCCCTTCTATGTTTTATTTATGAATACAGCCCTTCTTGATGGTAACTTTAATGTGAAAGAGGTAGTAATTAATGTCCCAATCTGTTAGGTTAATCCCTTTCCACACTCTCCACAGAGAAGTTTAAGGTAAGTAACAGTTTACAGTCAATAGTAGGTTTAATTATGCTTAATGAGAGTTAGTTTCTCTGTTTACTAACTGCATTGAGGTGTGTGGGTCCTAGATGAGCTTTCCCTTGGCCTCATTCTGATTTGTTAATAGGGCCACTGTGGGCCATATACTTAGTGCTTAAACCTATAAAGCTGCTCCTAGGGAACAAAGCAAGTAAGGCACCTGTTTCAGCTGAGACACCATTAAGTAAGTGCAGCCTTCACACAACTATATCTTTCTTTGGGAAGAGAGCTATTATTTTATAATGCTTTCCAAACAGATCCATTTGAGAAGCTAATTATTGCCTAAATTTCAGAGCTTTGGTAAGTCTACATATAAAAAGCTATCTCAAACTAAGTACAATCATCAATAGTGGTTTGTATAAAATTAGAGTATCAAACACTCCTAAGACTTTCCATATTAATCCTTTAATGTTATCATTTCAAGTGTTAAGATCTAAAACTACTTTTACAAGTCACTGGTTTTTTTTTAACTAAAAATGTCTTTTGTCTTAAAATTGTATTTAAACTTATTATAGTATACTAGAAGCCCAGTGCACAATTTCATGCACAGGTGAGGTCCAGCCGCCTGGCCCCAATCAGGGTGGGGGGGTCTGATCGGGGGAGGGGCTGGCAGGGGGGAGGGGCCGAGGGTGGTTGGCTGGCCAGCCCCGCCCCCGATTGGGCAGGTTGGCTACCGCAGTGCGCATCATAGCCACTGGTCGTTTTGGTCATTCTGGTCATTCTGGTCCTTGTGCCGTTCAGTCTCTTGGCTTTTATATATATAGATAGGGGAAAACTTCTGTTTCCTTACTAAGCTATAAAAATAAGCACCAAAACAAATACCCAGACTTTAAGGAAACCATGTTGACCCAAAGGAAATTTAGTACACACAATTTTTAAAGGATCCTTTTTTTGCCATGTTTGTGTTGTAGATAAATTCTTAGTATAACTGATGATATAGTTCCTCTAAGTCTGAGGCCAGTTTTCAAAAAACATTTATTGAGAACCTGGTCTGAACTAATCACAAAAATGAAGAAGGCATATTCCTTCCCCTAATGAAGCTTATCCTCTGGGAAAGGAGATGTGCATAGGTAAAAACTATGACACAATGGGTTAAGTGTTATACTCATGTGCATAAATGTGAAGGGGGCACTAAGAAAGATGTGTTGATTCTGTAGTAGAGGATAAATTAGGCCTCCTCTAGGGACATAGCATTTTTCTGGGTTACAGGAAGGCCACAAAAGGCTGAATGAGCATTGAGAACAGGCACAAAGCATAGCAGGCCATGGTGTGTTAAAGCAGCTAGTAGTGCAGTGTAGGCAGAAAGAATTGTGAGCTTAGGGAAAGGAGATGAGATGGAAGAGAAATTTTCAAGTTAGGTGCTCAGAAAGTAGATTGGGACAAAATTTTTTAAAATTTTAATGTCAGTCCTGGCCGGGTAGCTCGTTAGTTAGAGTGTCGTCCTGAAATGCCAAGGATGCAAGTCTGATCTCCAATCAGGGAACATAACAAGAAACAACTAATGCATTTGTAAGTGGATGTTAACAACAAATTGATGTTTCTCTTTTTCACCCTTTCTCTCTCTCTCTCTCTCTCTCTCTCTCTCTCTCAAAAATAAAATAAAATAAAAATTACTAAATTAAAAAAAAATTCTGTCATCCTGTATTAGCTATTAACAAATATGAGATATAGGAAAAGGCGAAAAAATATCTTTACCAAACAAAATGAGACCAGTATAAATCTTGAAAATTAAAATGAACTTTTCTGAGCCTACTGATCTCTGAAAACTGTTTTCATATTTAAAAATCCCCATAATGTATTTACAAATCCTTATATTTAGTTCAAAGAATTGTTTTTTTGTAATAGGAAAATAAGATTCCTAAAATGTTACCCACCTAAAAGATTGGATGATTACATATTAAGAGAAGCTAGTGGGAAGAGGAGCTGGTAGATCCATATCTCAGGGCATTCTGGGAAATATAAACATGATTCAATGTTCTTTAAATAGAAAGTGTTTACAATTAGTTTCAGAAACATTTTTGCCTTTTGAAAATTCTACCTTTAGTCAGTATATCCTGACTGCTTATAGAAAAAAAAAAGTAGAGGCAAACATTTCCTTAAAAACCACAATCTAATGGGTCTAAAAGAAAAAGAGTGCAACCCAAACTATCAAAAAGACCCACACATCTGAAAGTCTTTCTGCACTTAACTAAACTGAGCTTTCTGCTATGTCCTTCAAATCACTATAAACTTATATTCTCCCCTACCATGCTACTCTGAACCACCCTGAGGACTTCCAAATTACTGTCAGACACTGGGCATTCATAGACACCAACTTCTGAATTCCTGCACAAGGAAAAGAGAAAGACTAGATTCAAATGGTAATAAAGTTTCTATCACCATGATAAACATATTTAAAAGTCGGTCTCTTGCGAAAACTGGTTTGGCTCAGTGGATAGAGTGTTGGCCTGCGGACTCAAGGGTCCCGGGTTCGATTCCGGTCAAGGGCATGTACCTGGGTTGCGGGCACATCCCCAGTGGGAGATGTGCAGGAGGCAGCTGATCGATCAATAAAATATATTTATAAATAAATAAATAAATAAATAAATAAAAGTCGGTCTCATCCTGATAACAAGTTATATAAAATAAGTATAACCTTTGTGTAAGTCACAGGTTATTATACTGAAATTTTTATTTCTATAGGTAGTATAACAGACTTAATGTGCTGCTAGAAATATGCATAAATACATTTCAATATAGCATGCATATGCAAGCCAGCTATTTATTATATTCCAATGTACACATTTTTATATTTACATTTCAGCACTTATTCTTGAAAGTTAAATGGAAAATACTCAAACTTTTTTCATCATACAAATTCTAAATGAAATAAAATGTCCTTTAAAAACTGTAATTAATGGCTGCTGTGTCAAACAGTGAACCAAAGGGTCAAACCTTATAATTCACAGTTTGAGAGGTCATAGCTCAAATTATAACTTTAAAAAACTGATTATCTGTGAGTAATTTGACAAATCCATCTAATACATGCTGAATGAATATAAAATCTTTTTGAGAGTAAAAAGAATGTATGTCCAAGTGGACAGCTGATGGAGAAAATGGCCTTTTTACTGAACAAGGCTAAGTCCAGCATAATGACTTGGTATGCCTTTGAATGAGCATGCAAGGCAGGAAGGCCAAACAGGACACACATCCAAAGAGAGCATAATAAACAATCTGATCAGAACACAAGAATATTCTACACACATGTCCGAAGAGAAAAAGAAATAAATATACATTTCCATCACCTGTTCCTCCATCACTATTCCTACAACCCAATTTACAGAACTATCAATAAACAATATTTAAAATAAATATTTTTTTGTAATTAAAAAATGTTAGAAATTATCCCTCTGATTTTTCAATTTGAGATTTGAAAATACATATTGATATGTATTAAGCCGAAGTTTACAACACTTTTCTTTATTACTCACCTTGAAAACAAATATTGCTTCACCTATCATCCCAAGGCCACTTGTACCTTAAAATATAATTTGAATTAATTTGGCCTGCCTGCATTTTTTAATCTAGAAGTGTTCTACTATTAATAAGGCAGGCTACTGAAGCTATTTCTCCCATTGCAGACCAAATTCCCTAACTGTGCCAAAATTGAGAAGTCCAGCAAAATTTAATTTTTTAATTTAATTATATAACCATGTGTGTAATATTTATGTGTTTATTATATTTTCCTATTAGACTGTAAACTCCACAAGGTTAAAGACTATGTACTTTTATGTTCAACAGTTACATCTAACACCTCGGAAGTTCCTGGCACAGAGCAGAAATTCAATAAATACTTGCTGTATGATAGAAAGATGGATGAAGCGATGCAAGGTGGGAGACCTATGTTTAGCTTAATATCCTCTAGTATTATTTGTGTGATTATGGGGGGGGGAGTTTTTTTAATGTACACTCTATTTAGGCAGTTTACGTACCCAGTAATTCACTGATCCATCCACTTAACCTAGAAACTGAGAAGATTTGAAACACATTTAAAACTAAAATAGTTGAAAAATGAAAAAGATGGAAATTAGAGTGGGAAACAAGATGTTTATATATGTATACATGTAAAGACAAATCATAGGAAAGAAAGGAAGTTTACTTTCTTAGTTTCTTTGGGTTAATTCTATTATAACCATTATTATAATGCTTTTATTATAACAAAATACTAAGAATATTTATTACTTTCTCATATGGCAATGCACTACAGCCGCTATATAACCAGATTCCTTATATCATGAGCCAAAGAGTCTATTGGAGGACACAAATATTCAATGATAATAAAATGTAATAAATAAATAATAGTAATAACATAGGTTTTTGTGAGAGAATAAAGCAGGATTCTTCTCTTAACCAGAAAAAATGCTCACATGGTAATTGCTGAACTTTGACGCTACTACGTCCAATTCCAAGAGACTTTTCTGGTACATGTAGACACTGTTGGCTTTTGATGTACAGAGAAATATTACTAGTAAAAGGGAGATCTGAACATGTAAGTCACTCTACCATAAGAAAACACATTTGAAAAATGGCCTTTTTCTTATAAGTGAAAGCCTAACTCTGGTTCCACTTAGTCTGGTAATTTGTTTCTGTCATTCCATTGGACGAGCCCACACGTACTGGGCTCTTCATAGGTCCTGGGCTCCACCATCTGGCCCTTTATTTACTTAATTCTTTTTTAATACTGACAAGTGTATTAGTAACACTTCCATGATCACTGGTAAATATAGAGCAACTGCACAACCAAGATTTTCCCTAATTCTGAAAGTCACTAATTAGCTGTGGGTAGGGGTTGGGGAGTATTACAAAGATATGTTGAGCGGTACTACAATAAGTAGTCTAATTCCCAAGAAGAAAGCATGTTAATCTGCTTCCCACTTCATTAGAGAAATAAAAAAACATCTTGCCATCACTAAAGGATATAAAGAGAGATCTGAATATTGGAGGAAACAGTAGATAGGGGGGAAGAATAAATGCAGCATTCAGGCAAGAAACACAAATCCCCTACATATGGTAGACAATGTTCATGGTTTCTCTTGATATCTTTTGATTGCTCTATTCATCAGTATGTTTCATGAGCATACTTTACTCAATTAATAAACACAAGCTTCCAAAGAAAACAAATAAGGTAAATAAATCCTATTTAAATGAACTAATAGTTCTTCTGATACTTAAGATATACATTAGGCAACTTTGAAAGCTAGTAAGGTCTCATTCACTTGAGCTCCATAATAAAATACAGTAGGCTTAAAGGAGAGAACACAGTTTCCAAAGGTGCTAAAAAGTCATTTAGAGAGAAGATATTATCTAATTTAAGTACTGAAACTGGGAATTATGGTATCGTAAGTCCATTAAAGAACTTTTTTAAATAATATTTGTGGGGGTTTTTTTAAGAGAGAGTCTAAAGCTTTAATTTTCCATGAGATTTAGATTCCTCAAAGAACATTAACTGATAGTTATATGTGTTAATTCAAGCATCAAGTATAAATTATTATAACTCAACTTCCTGAAACTAACAATTCTGAGTAAAGTCAAGTCCATTGTCCTCATTTCTAAAATCAAAAAATGTAATATGAAGCAAAAACCTTTTCGAGATTATTTTTTGTTTCAGTCTATCTTCTTTATTTATAGACATTTTGGGGAAAGGATGACATTCAATTATAGTACTTATCCCAAATAACTAGAATCTCAGCTAAAAACTTATAAAGTTGTGGACTGTGAGATAAATATTAGTATTTCCTTAATTAAATTTTTAACTAATAAATAAAAGTTAATTGGTTCACATGCAAAAATAAATTGATGAAAGGCCAAAAAATAGAATAAACAGGGAAAAGGGGATTAGGGGATGCACTTTGTTTAATATCTAATTTGAGACCTGTCAAAGAAGTCGGGCATATCTTATTACTGGTATATGAAAAATGAAAGAATGAATGTTTTTGCATACAAATAAATGCAAGTATAGAAACATAATAGAAGCTTTGTGTTACAATGCAACTTAAACTCCTCTGGGCAGTGATCAGCTAAGAAGGAACAGAGACAGATACAATGCAATGATTAACTAGCTGATGAATCTATTATTCATGACAGGTATGTAAGCAGTCAGGGCAGCTATGCTGGTGGCTTCTCCTCATCAAGCATCTTTGCCAGGACAGACTGGAGGCTTGGAACCAGGCATGACACAAAAACAATAAAGCCTATTGCCAGCTAAGGGAAGAGTCAGCACAATCCAACTCCAGTTTTTAATAGTACTAGAAATCTCTCTTGAATAATGTTTCCCCTTGTGATCGGCATATATTGTATTTACAGAATGTTGCCAGCACTTACCTCTATTTATCTTACTATGCATAGTAGCATACCTGAAACAACTACTTTGAAATTGTCAGTATATACAGGAAAAAAGTGACTTTATCATTAGTTGGCAAAAATGTCTGTTGATGGGTATAACCATCATGTCATTACACGAACAGATGGTCAAAGTGAGTTCATTTTACTGACAGTATATTATGTGGGACTTTTTATCCCTGAACAACCAAACCAAACAAAAGTACAACACAGAAGAGGCCGTCATACCTTCCTGCGTTTGGTTGGCAGCTTAATCTTTGATATATGAAAATAAAAAAACAACATGGACTGTAATCCTGCATACTACCATTTCCACATAACATTTAATAGAATATTTAAGTATTCATATTAAAAAGTCATCCTGGTATTTGTGAAGATAAAAAAAAATACATGGGGTTTTTAAAAATCTTTCAACTACATGATCTCCAGTTAAAGGAGAAACATAAAAGTCATATTTCTTATACTTCAGTGTTCTGTTTTGTTTTTAATTTAAACAACAGTTTATAGGGGGGAAGCAAGTTACAATTCTTTATTGTTATTCAGGTATTTTAATAAAATGTTAGAAAAAGAGATATTTTAAAAAAGCAATCCCCTTGTTAAAATCAATTTCTCTTTGAAAGGCTATGCTCTCTCTGTGTATATATTATTTTACTGAATAATTTTAAAATATAACAGCTGAAATATTCATAAACAAATGAATTAATAGTCTAGCAGGTATCCAATCACCAATTACTACATTTTACACCATGAAATCTCTTGAAATACACACACACACACACACACACACACACACACAGCTTCATCTCTAGAACTAACGCAAATAGAAAATATTACCTTGATTCTGTGAAATAAAAAAAATATTGTGGGGCCCTAGCTGGTTTGGCTCAGTGGATAGAGCATTGGCCTGTGGACTGAAGGATCCTGGGTTTGGTTCCAGTCAAGGGCACATGCCCTGGTTGCAGGCTCAATCCCCACTAGGGGGTGTGCAGGAGGCAGCCGATCCAGGCTCAATCACTAGGGTGTGTGCAGGAGGCAGCCGATCAATGATTCTCTCTCATCGTTTATGTTTCTCTGTCTCTCTCCTTCTCCCTTCTTCTCTAAAATCAATAAAAATATTATTTAAAAAAATATTATGGGGTCAAGGAGAGAGAATGTAAGAATACATTTCTATCTATAACAGCTAATAGTAAAAGCAACAGCTGAAAATTATATTGCTAAAATGCATCTACACATGTGGTTATGAAAACTTAGGCTCAAGAAAAATTCTAGTTACCCACTTTCAAAAAGAGCTGATAAAGTTTAAGATACATCTTTAGTACTTCTGTACCTTAAAATATTGCTGAGTATTAATTTTTCATCAAGTTGTCATTTTCTCTGACATTTGATTTTATTAATCAAGGCATTTATCATTAATTTGTTGAAAATATCGTAATTAAGCCAAATAAACTAAAACCCTTAAAAGGTTAAAATTAGAAAGCAGGTGAATTAGAACTTTGACATTACCCTGTTGACATACAAGAGCTGTTTGAAAGTATGGGAGTCAAGTTTTTGCAGTTAGTTTGATGCCTCAATCTTGGGGCTGGGTACTTTTTTTAAATGTTATAAAGATTTGATTTAAAGCTCCCTGACAGTTTTGACATTCAGGTGAAAGTACTGCTGCTGCATTTGGAACAATTTGCATATCCCACTGCTAAATAGAATGTTTGAGGTGTGCACTGGTGTAAAGAAATGAAAAACAAGCTATCACACATGTTTAAGTGTATGTATTCACAAAACTGATGGTTGCAGCATACCACCCCATCCCTCCAATGTAATCTGTGATTTACTCTTCTATAATAAATTACCCTACCATGTTATTCTCATTGGAAGATCTAACCATGTATGTAAGAAGCAAAGTAATTATAGCCCCCTCTTGTCTAAGAAACCTTCTTTAATCCCTATGAGCTCTTTATACACAATGAAGGGACACAAGTCAATTGTAAACTTCTTGCCTGCAATTCTGGACTTGGTAGCCATGAAATCTCATTGAACAGTTTTGCTGTTCCCAACAAATGCATTTTTATGTTTTTAGAGTTAGTTATAAAGCTCCTTCTGATGAGGAATAGGTACTGAGTTATTAGTTTTGAGTCAATATGCCTATTTAAGAAAAGGGAAAGGTATAGAATTAGAAGAGTTCCAAACTGATTCCCATATAGAAGGAAGAAAGGATACAACAACACCTAATTAGGCTGACATATTCTCAGATGACACAAGCTTTCTTCTTTTTTGACTTATAATTTCAGATTATTCTTTATGCAGACATAGAAAAGGATATATAATGCATTAAAGGGCAATAAAGGAAAGACTTGAGTTTATAAACCCAAACACTTAAATATTATAAAACTTTTCAAGAAGATAAAACCCATTCAAGGAAATCTCATTGACTATTACCTTTAGCCTTCAAGGTCTCAAAAGGCAAGTCTTACCACTTCTTTTGTGTGACTGTAAAAAGA